CGTGCCATGTATTTGATTCAATGCATTTGTGTTTAATTTTTTTAGTGATCGAATTTGAGGACAACTTCTGAACATAAAGTCGATATTGTTACAAGATATGGAAATGAGTTTAAGATGCGGTGGTGACCAAAAAAACAAGACAAAGACATCCTTGCAATAACAGGGCCCGTGTGTTACACGGGGTAGAGTTACATGGCCTATGTCTTACATAGGGTAGGGTTACATGGCCAATGTGTTACATGGGGTAGGGTTACATGGGGTTGGGGTTACAAGGCCATTGTGTTACATGGGGTTGGGTTACATGGCAAATGTGTTACATGGGGTTGGTTTACATGGCCAATGTGTTACAAAGGGTAGGGCAACATGACCTATGTGTTACATGGGGTTGGGTCATGTGTCCAATGTGTTACAAAGGGTAGGGCAACATGACCTCTGTGTTACATGGGGTTGGGGTTACAAGGCCAATGTGTTACATGGGATTGGGTTACATGGCCAATGTGTTACACAGGGTTGGGGTTAAAAGGCCAATGTGTTACACTGTGTTGGGTCATGTGTCCAATGTGTTACATGGGGTTGGGTCATGTGTCCAATGTGTTACAAGGGGTAGGGCAACATGACCTATGTGTTACAGAGGGTAGAGTTTGTGTTATACGGGGTAGTATCACATGGCCAATGTGTAACACAGTTTAGGGTTACATGGCCTATGTGTTAGAGGAGGTTGGGTTACAGGGGGTAGAATAACATGACATATTTGTCACGCAGGTAATGTATTTATGCTCTGCTTATTTTAACAGACATGGTGTTCACTTTCAAAACGAAGAGTTGTCGAATTTTCTCTCTCACTGCCTTCATCAAACCAGTAAGTATTATGTCCAGGTTGTGTCATTATACTCCAGTCACACATTCATGACTACAGAACCTCATGTCATTGCAGTCCACTCTTGATGTTTGTCATTCAATCATATATTCTAATTATGTGTTACATCATATTTTGTCGTTTTTCCCTGGACATAGTCATATATCCTAGAATATATAACCTTGGATCATTGTAGACCAAATTTCCAACTATGTTTATTGTTTACAGGTGGAGTGATCTGACGATGCTTCCGACTGACTGTCAAGAAAATTTTAAAAATAAACGAATCTGAAAGCACTTGCGTGTTACTATTCTTTGTTGACCCACTGTGGTGATGATATGTGGACTCCACCTGATGGATGTCTGTGAAGGAAGGGTTGTAAGGATGTGCACTTCCCATGCTTCACGTTGCTGTCCCTATGTCAGGACAGCGTGTCAGATAGAAGTGGGAGTGAAAATACGTAGTCTCCATCTGATGGATGTCTGTGAAGGAAGGGTTGTAAGGATGTGCACTTCCCATGCTTCACGTTGCTGTCCCTATGTCAGGACAGCGTGTCAGATAGAAGTGGGAGTGAAGATACGTAGACTCGACCTGATGGATGTCTGTGAAGGAAGGGTTGTACGGATGTGCACTTCCCATGCTTCACGTTGCTGTCCCTATGTCAGGACAGCGTGTCAGATAGAAGTGGGAGTGAAGATACGTAGTCTCGACCTGATGGATGTCTGTGAAGGAAGGGTTGTAAGGATGTGCACTTCCCATGCTTCACGTTGCTGTCCATATGTCAGGACAGCGTGTCAGTTTGAAGTGGGGGGAAAGCCCCAACTAATGCAAATCTTATAGTAAGTGAATCAGTGAGAATGGTTTTACGCCGCTATTAGCAATGTTCTATCACGACGAGGGACACCAGAAATTGGCTTCAGACATTGTACCCATGTGGGGAGGGGAACACGGGCTACGGCGTGTCGGGTGGACGCTTTTATCACTACCTACCCCACCGCTGGAGGTCTTAATTAAGACGTTTACAAGTTTGCTGAGACCCACGAACATGATGATGAACCCATCATACACGTGTCTGTCTCCCCCTTTTAAAACTACACATATTCTTATTTCAGAATACACATGTGATATTGGTTTGAAATTACATATGCATTTTAAACTCTATGCACACATTTCATTTGTTGATAATACATATGTGGACAAATAATATTGTGCCATGTAGTTGACAAACGAAAGGTTTCCAGATGTGTTTCCTCAATGTGTTTTACTCATATCTGCAGTGGTTGTTACACTTGCTCTTCAGTGGTCATTGAGTATCGGCTCTGTTCGTCACAGAGATATTTGGTGATACTCTACATAAACAAGGGCTGGCTCTGGAATGCCGTCTCTGTGGACTTCTTTGTGAACGAATTAGACCTATCTAATACTTATAAAGATTGATATATCTATACCATAAATAACCGCCGAAGGAGACGGAACTCGACCCAAACCATTTCCCTATTCAAAAGAAATATCTGTCAAAAGCAGAGTCGATTGCACGATTCCGTCTATGTGATTATGAATCACTATCAAATAGTGATGAATGCATCTTGTTGCTAATGGGTCAAATTTGGAAATATTCAATGTCTACCATGAAACTAAAATTTTGGAAAGCAATACTGGGACCTTGTCTGTTGCATTATTAGTCAAACAGCTTCTGAGCAAGGGTCGAGAGACACTCTCTAAAATCTTTGTGAAAAGAACATGTTCCATTGTGAAATGACGACACCTAGGGCTTGCGCTGCATGAATATTGCTCGACATACAGGGAAAGTAGACTGTCATACAGTTTCGTACAGTGTGTTTTGTCACTCTGAATCGTTATGAATAGATCTAAATATGAAACAATTGAGGCGGTCTCACTGGTCTTCTTTATTCCTACATCAGGTGTTTAAATCAGTCGAAGGGAAGTCTAGAAGTTAGTCACTGTGCGGAACAGGGACAAATTTCTTACTTAAAATACATACATTCCTGTGAACTGAAATGCTATCATTCACAAGGAATTTTGTAAAGAGGGGAGGCCAAATATATTTCCTGTTTGAAACCCAGGTTCGCTACACACATGATCGTGGATCTGTCAGCACCAGCTCTATGCCTGTGACCTCCCCCCTGCACTGGTGCAAAACCCAGTCATTAACTGCAATATTCTGATATTAATGCAATACCTTGATTATAATTTTTTGAGTACGTTACATGTCGATTCTTTATTTGAAACACTTGAGGAGCCCTGCTGTGCTGCGTCAGGCAATAAATATTTACTTTTATTTTTTAAGTGTACGAATGGCGGGTGCTACCAGTAAGGCAGAACATGCCTACCCTTTTCTCAAACACATGGTGTCATCCCTGATTTTCAGTGTTCCATTTACATAATTTCCACAGCTATTGCCCCTTTATGCCAAGAAAATCTAGGCTGGTCATTCTTTTGCATTGACAATTTATATTAAACCACACCATCAACCACAATGGACGCCATGACTGCCTCATTACTTGTGTCATCATAGCCAGCTCTTTGTTATTACACCCAGTCAAATCACTACACCTTCAACGTACCCAATTGGCTTCTCTGCTGACAATCTCACTGGTAATGTCAATATATTGTTTGTACATTCGTCCTACCTTGTGTTGTTTAAACATATCATCATGAAAGACATTGTCGTCCCATGGAAGCAATAAGATCCCAATTTGTGGCCTGGGAATGCTCACTTACTCTGCCTGCAGTGCTTGTGTCAATAGTAGGAGGTTCTATGGCTCACAATCATTACTTCCCATTAATGTTCGCCTGGGTTTCAAATCTGGAGAACTCGGGGGGCCATGGAAGGACCTGGATGTTGTAATTTTTAAAATAGGCTGTTATCAGTCTTGCCGTGTGAGGTCGAACGTTGTCTTGTTGGAAAATGGTTTAAACCTATTGATGCCAAGAGAATATACATTGCCGGATTGGCAGACAAGCTTTGTGAGCTTATCTAAATACTTCCCCGGATAGCATGGTGAGCTTACTACATGCCAGAAAGTCAAACAATATATATATATAGGCAGTGTGTGATAGAAAGAAATAGTGACAAATCAAATAATGGTAGTTTAAATCTATCTAAATATAACATAAAAAACAACGACAAAACTCTTTCTATATCCAATAAAAATATCTGCATAAAGCAGAGTCGATTGTATGATTCCGACTATATCATGAGCATGTGTCTTTTTGACTCACTATCAAATAGTAATGATACCAGATGTTCGCAAAAAGGTAAGCGTATCCAACCCCACCGGTGGCACACATCACAAAACACATACAAAGACAAGTAAATTGTAAAAACCACACGGTACAAGTCAAAAAAGGGAATTGCATTGGACATCATTTTTGTCATTGATGCGTCAAATTTGGAAATGTATTCCATCTGCTTCCATAAAACATTTTGAAAGCTTTACTGAGGCCTTGAATGTTGTAACCTTGATCAAACAAATTCTGAGCAAGAGTCGTATGATGCTCTTTGAAATCTTGGTAAAAAGAGCATGCTGGATTGTATCTCAAAAGTTGTAAAATGTAAACACTAAGGCTAGAGCTGATGTTATATTGCTCGATATGAAGGGAAAGTTGACTATGTGAAAGTTGAAGTCATCCCTCTTGTCATACAGCTTTGTGGAGAGTGTTTTACCACCCTGAATCTTTATTCATAGATCTTAATATGAAACAGATGAGGCGGTTTGACTGGTCTCCTTTATTTCTACTTCAGGACGGTAAATCTGTGGAAGGGAATTGTCTACTTGATGGTTATTGAACGATATCAGATCATCGATTTACCAGAAGTTTAAGTTACACTTATTGGCCAAACTACCTTGTTTTGACTTTGCCAACCAGCAGCTGTGTCCATGTACTATGAATCCGACGTTTAAAACATTTCGGCTGAAAGACCAAACACCAAATGGCAGAGCTCGTTATAAAGATTCACTGACATAACCGACACTCTATTATCTTTTTATGCTTGTGTTTTGGATGTATTACGTAATTACTCATATGCACAGACAGAGACGTGACTCATTAATATTCCGCAACATGTGCTACCTGAACATGTTGTAGCCTGACTGCTGTCTACTCACGTTCACCGTTTGCTTGTAGTATACACTCGTGTAATGTGTGCTGGAGGCTCAATCACAGGTGAGGGCAGTTGGCCAGGACAATGAAGGAGATCAGCAAGGAGCTGACCACTGACCTGAACCTGGAGGAAGTGACGCCGCTGGACTATTCGGGGGATGATGTCACTTCAATTCAGATCACAAACGGTGTTGAGATAGCATGCGAGGATGTGGGCACACCGTCCCCCTCGGATGGGGGGTGGGGATGGATTTGTGTCGGTGCAAGGTTTGTGGCTGTGTTTATAACTTTTGGTATCGTGTACAGCTTCGGAGTGATCTATGTGGAACTGGTGGATGTGTTCAACGCTACCAGAGCAGAGGTGGCCTGGGTGGGGTCGGTCGCAAGTGGAGCTATGCATATGGCAGGTAGGAATGAGGGGACGGGGATTGGGATGGGGAACGGGTTGATGATGAGGGGGTGGGGATTGAAAGGGTTGGGGTAAATGGTGGTGGTTTGGGAGTAAGTTCACCTTTAAAAATGACAGGTACGAATGATTGTGGATTGGGGGTGGGATTGATGATTAGGGTAAGGGCTGGATGTGTGTTTTTATTTGTATAGAGTTAATGGTGAATGGGGGACGGGAACGTCGGAAGTTCTGCTGTGTATAATTCAGGTAGCATCTAGCAGTTAAAGTAGGGGTGGGCTTGATGATAACGGATGGGGGTTGTTGTGGCCTGTTGTTGAGGAATTGTGTGTGTTTGGGGGGGGGGGGGGGGGGGGGGGGAGGCATTGATGGTGAGTGTAAGGGTGGGGTTGGGATCGGGTTCGGGTTCGTTTGGTATTGATGTGAGGGATGCTGTTTGGGGGATGGGAAAGGGTGGTATTGATGACTGATGGCGAAGGGTGGGTTAGGGTTGGGAAGGGGTATAGTTGATTGTGACGGATAGGGTGATTGAGGTTGATGGTAAGGGGTAGGGTGGATTTCGAGGATGAGGGTGGGTGGGTATTTGGGTTTATATTAATTAGCATATAATGGCAGCTACGGTAAGGTTAGAGGGAGGGTGTCGGGGTGGGGATTGGAGTGTATGGAGGGTACTGGGGTTGACAATAGCTTCTAGTAAATAATGGCAGCTTAGGTAACACACAAGGACACCTTTCACATATTGTTTTAACTATGTCCTCATTTTAGTCACGAAACACGCACTAGTGGTCACCTCCTGTCCTCTCACGGGGATAGTTAGCAATCTCAGCATCAGTGTTGAACAATGCACATTGTACAATTGCGGAACTGCAATATTCAGCCTACTTCTGTATACACCAAAAGGGAGATTATGTCTAACAATGCGCATCATTAGTTAACATTATTTAAATGAATATGTACGTGATGAAGTGGTCTTAAATCTATCCATTTGTTTAACCGTGTCATCGTTTCATATATTTTCAATAGGAAGACTACAAGAATAATGGTCTGTGAAATGTAAGGTCTTTCATGATAGAAATGATTCGTCTGAAATTATTTGGAACTGGCAACCTTTGCTTTCCCATGATAATAAAGTGCTTGTGTTAAGTTGGTTTTCCCCGAAGTGATATGGCTGGAAATATTGCTAAACTTACAGTAGATCATAGGTTATCAACCACTGTACATCTTACTCCAAGACATCGGATTAATGGAATATTGTTAAACCTTCCCTCCAGGGCCTCTGTCCAGCCTGTTGATAGAGCAGTACGGGTGCCGGGTGACTACCATCGTCGCTGGCGTGGTGGCAGCTCTTGGCTTCTTCGTCAGTTCCTTCGCCCCTAGCTTGGCCTTCCTGTACTTCAGTTTCGGCATGGTTGGAGGTGAGTTGGGGGATACGATGCTACACTTACATAGCACTGTACAACACGATACGCAGCAACCCATGCTTGACGAAAAGGGCGACTATGCTTGCCGTAAAAGTCGACTATGCTTGCCGTAAAGGGCGACTATATTTGCCAGAAAAGGCCACTTTGCTTGCCGTAAAAGCCGACGATGTTTACCATAAAAGGCGACTATCCTTGCCGTAAAAGGCGACTATTTTTGTCTTAAAGGTGACTATGCTTGCCAGTTAAAGACGACTATGCTTGTCGTAAAGGGCGACTATGTGTGCCAAAAAGGCGACTATGCTTGCTGTAAAGGGAGACTAAACTTGCCTTAAAGGCGACTATTTTTGCTGTAAAAGGCGACTATGCTTGACGAAAAAGGTGACTATGCTTGTCGTATAAGGTGACTAACGGGATCGGGAGACTTGGTTGATGCATGTCATCATATCCGAATTGCGTTGATCGATGCTTATAATGTCAAGCACTGGATTGTCTGGTCCAAATTCGATTATTTCCAAACCACCATCATATAGTATTTTTTCTGAGAGCGGCATTAAACAACAAACAAACGACACGATTCGCCCCTCTTCGGTATAGCTAAACATATTTCTTATATAGCCAAACTTCGTTAATCTGGACTGTGATATTTGTTCTCTGTGACAACGCGCTGATTGTAAAAGTTTCGGATGAACATTAACAATAATCATCCGAAAGGTGTGCTTAAAAATATTCTTCACAAGGCTGTAGGGATGTAGGGAAGAGTGATGACTTCAACATTCCAATGGTCAACTTCCCCTTTATGGCGAGCAATATTCCTGCAGCTCCATTCTTTGGTGTCTACATTCCACAGCTGCAGAGGTACAATCGAGTATGTTCGAAGGACGAACAAATCTACTAGCGTCATACGACCCTTGCGTCAAAGTTGTTTTATCAGGGTTACAATATTCAAGGCATTAGTAAAATGTTAGGATAGACATGAGGAGGACATTTCAAAATCTGATGCATCAGTGGTTTAATGCAATTACCAATTTCGACCTATACAGCATGATCCTGTGTTTTCATGTACATTTTTGCTGTGCAAGAAAGGAAGCGATGAAAATCAGTTTTAGTATGATATAGTCAGGACAAATTGTACAAGATCTGACAACAATATGGTGTAATTTTTTATAAAACTATCAAAAAAAAACATATCCTTGTTTGAATTCAATATTTCAGAATTTGTGGACCAGCTGATAAGCTATAACAACACCTGAATCGTTTCTGATAAACATGCATCTGGCATCATTGTTGGCTCTATCAACCGACCAAACACAAGTGCAAACCATTTGATCCTTCAAAAAATGTGTGTGTAAAAAATGTAAATTGAAACGAATTGATAAGTTAATTTTGCTGAATTATAGGTGAAATAAAATGACTATTCGTTATTGTGTTTAAATGGACATTCCAGAAATGCGTACATGATGCAGTTTTAAACATGACATCATCTTACATATAGTGGAAATAGAAGACGTTTCGTGTCGTTTTATGTCCCTGTGGCATCCCGAGTGTTAAGAACATATTTCAACCAATCAGATCCAGTTTACAATGCTATTATACTCTGCAGGGCTTGGTCTTGGTCTGTCCATCGTGCCCAGTGTGGTGGCAGTGACTGTCTACTTCAGGAAGAGGAGGAGTCTCGCCATATCCATATCAGCTATAGGTGCTGGAGTCGGGACAATGTGCCTGCCCCAGCTGTACAGGGCGTTGATCAACCAGTACGGCTGGCGAGGCATAATGATGGTGTTGTCAGGGGTAGCACTCAACCTCGTCGTCTGCGGGAGTCTCTTCAGAATGCCACCTCATACCATTGCACAACAGCGAAAAAGTAACTAATTCTAGATGCAGTAGATCTCTGCAACATTATTGTTTACTACATAAAGGGTTAACGTTTTATTCTGAGAATGTTGAGGAATACGTTCCTAGATATATATCCTCGAAGGACTCCCACGGCATAGTAGATCCCTGCAAAACAGAATTACTTCCCTTAGTCATGTACAGACATCTCATCGTAGGGTGGATTTGCCCTTCGTCAGTAGCTGTCCTCAAATACTCTGCTTGGGCCCACCTCTCCTTACCATACGTGATATCCGTCAGTTATATCCGTAATATTGTGTTCGTTATAAACGTAGTTTGCTGAATACAGAATCTTAATTATTTGATTTTGTCTTCAGGAACACACCTAAAAAGACGTCCTCCACGTTGTGTATCCTTCCAAAGCTTGTTCGTGGTGTTGAACCATCGTCCTTTCCTCATCTTCCTGACGGCAACAGCATTCACGCACCTCGGTGTCATGGTGCCGTATGTGCACCTCCCCGACCTGGCTCGTCTCACCGGGGTTGCCAAGGGCGACGCCTCCTTCCTGGTTTCAATCATGGGTCTCGTTGGCATTCTGGGAAGGCTTGTGTTTGGTTACGTTGCAGACTTTAGCTGTCTCAATAGGATCTTTTTTTATGCCGTCATGTTGTTGATTTGCGGCGCAGCCACTTTTTTGTGCACGATGGTAAAGACGTATGCATTGTTTGCTGTTTATGCTGCAGTTCAAGGAGCGTTCATAGGTGCGTTCACTCACTCACTCTGAAACTCACTCACTCTGAAACTCACTCACACACTCACTCACACACTCACTCACACACTCAATTCCTTCCCCCAGGGACGTGGACGGCCTTCACCTCCATTGTTGTGACTGACATTGTTGGAGTCGACCATACCGGCAACGCCCTTGGACTGACCATCTTCTTGAGTGGGATATCTGTCATCGTTGCCTCTCCTATTGCAGGTATGAGGCTTGCTGGTTACGATTTTAGCACAAGAGCATTTCATCAGTTGAGCTGATTGGTCCGTCCAAGCTATATGTACGTTAGGGGGCACTGATCCATCACTGAGCACAATACCATGTGACGTCATCGATTGTAATCAATTGATATCATTACGTCATGGGAACCAATGAATGATTTCATATAAGTTTGTATGTTTACAGATGACATATCAGACTTTTTTTTCTTTTCTGTCATAAACTCACAGTTGAATATTCTGCATGTCTCAGAAGCTCTGATTTACGGGTTGTCTTTTCCTCGTGAATCAATACTGCTAGTCTACCACTAACACCCTTCATTCACATTTCACATTCACATGACCTGTAAGTCTTTGTATTATATTCTGACATACTCCAACTCTGCCTCCAATGGGTGAAGCTCCTCATGGACATTTTAGTAGCATGAGGTTTATATGAAGAAACTAATTTTACTTATTCCTACTATATCATGAGTATGTGTTTATGACGCACTATCAAATAGTGATGACAACAGGCGTTCGCGAAAAGGTGGGTGTACCCTACCCACGGGTGACAGCCGTCAACAACACATGCAAAGGCAAATCAATTTTTCACCTGAAAAAAACTCGGGAACACACCCTAATACAGCAGATTGCGATTTCACATACATATTGAATTTACAGTTTCATGACAATTTCACATATATATAAATGTACATTCCAAACGTCAATGTTAGGAGACGCAACTCCACAGTTATTTGCAGTTCCGAAGACATAATGACATCTAGTCAACCAAATGTGACTCAACGATACTGTTGTGTGATTCGAAAATGAAGTCTTTCATGTACATCTTCTTACTGTAACAGGATCCTTGTGAATCTGTCTTGATTGTCACGTATATTTTCAACGTTTATTTGTTTCTAGGTTCCCTGTTTGACTTAACAGGCAGGTATGTCGCGTCCTTCTACCTGGCTGCGTCTATATACCTCCTGGGTGGTTCGCTCAACATGGCGGGTTATTTATACATCAAACTGAAACAAGATAAAGGCATTATCGATTGACAACAAATGTTTTGTACAGTTTTAAATATTCTTTGAATAAACAAAAAAATGGTCAAATGTAACAAATGTTATGCCCGACACTACCAGTTGTCTAACTTCCATTTTTGTGGAAGCCTCGGGGGCTGAGCAGGTTAGATCGCTCACTTTGTGTGCTGGCGAAAAGGTGCCTCAATCTGGCAGTGTGGGTTCGAATCCTGGATGGGACTCAACCCCAAAACGTACTCGCATCTGAACTTTACAAAGAAAGTGTTATCCCAAATGTAACATTTGTTAAACAAATATTTATCCAATTTCATTTTTCTCTTTGGTAACAAATTTTGGAAAGTTTTTTAGTTTGGATTAATTACTTTGTTGCTAAAGAAGGTTTGGGATACAGCTTGGTTTGAACCTTTACAGCTGCTTCGCAGAGTCGTGTCCTTTGACCTCCAGGATCTGCTAGTTTGGATTAAAGGTTGACCCCGATGTTCCATATCTAGGAAGGCCTGGCGTAGAATTAAGTACCCATGACCACCATGACTCGCCGAATCAATTGGGCGAGATGAAATCAAGATATTCCCGAGCGGTTTCCCCTCAAACGAGCCTATTCAGGACATTCAGAACGGAAACTGCGCACAGAAAAGAACAAGACTTTATTGCAGCTCAGGCCGTGTTCCACGGCATATTGAGAACATATAATCGAAGTACATATATGGCAATTATGGCAAGATGACAATCAGAGGACTCACACAAAACATACATGTTATAGTATATAACGTGCTATCAATTTTATAACAAAAATAAACATAATTATTCATATTGTAAACATTCAAGAAATTAATATGCAATTATCTAATTGCTTTCATATTTTTTATACTCAATTTACTGAACTTTTGGAGAATACCTATTTTCAAGATGAAAACAAAGAAGAGAATGAAGGGACATGTGGGTGATTTCTAAATCGAAATGGAATCATTCCAATATGTGGCCGATACGAGGGCTGGTCAAAAAGTTCTCAGCATAACAAACAAAACCAACAGTTGTGAAAGTTTTCCTTTTGAACATAATCTCCCTGCTTTTTAATACACTTCTCATTTAGGCAGCGTGTCAATATCATATGTGTCCAACCGTTTTCACAACATAATAGCATTATGCAGGTTGAATCTAAACGCACGCATGTGTGAATGTGCGTGCGTGTGTGTGTGTGTGTGTGTGTGTGTGTGTGTGTGCGTGCGTGCGTGCGTGCGTGCGTGCGTGCGTGCGTGTGTGTGTGTGTGTTTGTCTGGGTGTGCCTGTTTCTGTGTATGCGTATATTTTCTTGTTTAACGCCACATTCCAACTGTATGACGACTTCATGTGAATAACATAAGAAGCAAATATCTGGCTTTTAATGCTGACATGTAGCCTTCAAAGGCTTCTAGTAAGCTGAGAAAAAGCGTTCAACATATCACACACTTTCACATATATCTCAACGCAATGTTAACATCAATTACAACACAACAATATTAGTGTAAGAGTAATCACAAGTAAGTAGGTGACTTGGGCGTTTCCAGTGTCAGCTTGATGTGGGAGGAAAGCCCGAAGTGAAGCAGGTCTCAGACGTTTACCACTTCGGTGAAACTCACGAGCACGGGTATGGTACTGACAAACTTAGACACATTATCGGAGCGAATCGGGCCTAGCTCTCAAGATCTCACGTTTCTGGCATGCCCAAGGGACGAACCTCAATTTTATTAGTGATCGAGTGAAAAAATGCGAGTGGGTCAGCGTTGACGTTTCTTGAAAAATCCGATGAGGAAAACGAGGAGCGTTAAGAGGCCAGACATGAGGAATGTTGATCCAGCGAAACAGAAACTTGTAATGTACGAGTTGGTGCTGTCGTACATCCATCCTGAAACAGACATGTGTGTTAATGTATCACACCTTAGAAAACGTTATCGACGCGAGTCCCAGTCCCTGTCCCAAACAATTTGGTGTCACGATCCGTGAAGAATGCAAATGAGATCACGCAGCAGGTACTACATTTAATTAGTTACATTTATCGATAACTGCTTGATAAACTGCTGCATAAAGTTCTAGGTTTAGATCAATTACTGCCACATGCATGGTTGCACATCATTTGACACTAATACACGGACGGTTTACACAGGCATTGTATTGACATCCGGTTCCTCAAGCCTGTTACTGTCGATTACTGCACTCAGCACTATTTCAGCTGTGTGACGGCTGCAGGCAAATAATCAATTCTTGACCAGACAATCCAGTAACCAAGTAACTGAGCATGACCACCCGCTCCATCAAGAGGCCTCTTACGACCAGCATACGTTGCTGGGGAACTGTTCTAACCCGGAATTGCCACGGGTTGTTAATTTACGACTATCAACAGCGTGTGGGGACACATTCTTCCCAGGCTTCCAACAGGGGCGTTATAAGCCTTGACGAATCTGACAGTGACCTCTCACTCACTCACTTAGTCATGCGGAAACAAATGTGGAATGTCAAAATAACATCACACACATCAATACATTAGAACATCCTATTATCAACATGAACACACAATGCCATTTAGAAAGTGGTCAAATGAAACAAATGTTGTTCTTGGGATAACACTTTCTTAGTAAAGCACAGATTCTCGTACTTTTTTGGGTTGTGCCTCGGTGGCCGAGCGGATTAGATCGCTCACTTTGTGCGTTGGCGATTAGGTGCCTCACTCTGGCAGGGTGGGTTCGAATCCAGGACGAAAGTTCGAGAAAATGTGCTTTACTAAGAAAGTGTTATCCCAAATATAATATGTGTTGCATCCTATTATCATGCGAAGTATAAACAGCGAACCTGCAAGTGGTGAGGAGAAAAGTGACGGAAGACCTCCGAAAAAGACAAGAACGGCGAAGCCTTTGTTTGAATCTCGCACACCGAGGATGTCTGCCACCAAAACACTCAGAAACGACCCGTACACGCCTACACACGGAACAGAGAGAAGAACATTGTACATGATCATCACACTGGTTTGTTTGTTTGTTTGTTTGTTTCACGCTGCACTCAGCAAGAGTCCAGCTACATGGCAGTGGTAAGTAAATAATTGAGCCTGGGCAAGACAATCCTGTGATTGACATGAGGACCGATCTACGCAATCGACCAAGTCACCGAGCCTGACCACTAGATCTATTTAGTCGCCTTTTACAAGAATACGTTGTTTGGGATATATATTCTTCCACGGATCCCTATCTATCCGATCATCAATTATTTAAGACAATTCAAGACAATTATTTAAACAATGCAGTAATATTTTATAGCGTTGTAGGACAATTGCTGTAATAACAACGTTATAGAAGGATGGATGCATGCATCACGAGAGATATGCACCTGACTGGCAATTACCCGGGCAAGTGACAACGTGCAATGGTACAACATTCTATATGATGGCAAATAATTCATGAAACGTAATCCGTGGATAAACGTGTTATTTGTGAAAATATATGATGATGGCATACTGCACCTCGCAAATTGATGCAACAGCAGCTATATCGCGGCGGCTTGTCAGTAATCGAGGCTGGGGCATGTTCGCCGTCGGGGTGCCATGACATACAATCAACCAACCACCGAGTGACTACCCCAACCAATTTGGTCGCCTCCTTCAAATAGCAATAGAATGAGGTGGAGCCCGTTGGGATCAATCCCGACATGTGATGATTTACATGTTCTTTGACAAGTTAACGCTTACGCCTTTTTGTATTAAGGGTGAAAACAGGTCCCAAGCAACCTATTTCTCGTGCAACGCCACTTAGTGGGTAGATCAGGTTCATTGAGTTGACTGATAGCGGGCCATCATTCACTGACGGCGAGGATTGCTGTTCATAAAATCAATCACTGTTCTGTAAGGTTCAGACTCAATTGTCACCCGTGAAGATCCGGGTAGAATAGTTCTTCAGCAATCAATGCTTGCCCTAAAAGATGACTTCGCTTTTTCGTAAGAGGCGACAAACAGGATCGGTGGGTCAGGCTCGCTGACTTGGTTGATGCATGTCATCGTATCCCAATTGCGTGGATGTCAATCACTGGACTGTCGGGTCCAAACTCTATTATCTACAGACCGCCGTCATATAGCTGGAATATTGCTGAGTGCGGCGTAAACAACAAACAGACAAACACACAAAAGAGACTCAAGTTGTTAAAGGCCACACTCAACAATATTCCACTATTATGTGGCGGTTTTGTCAAGAATCGAATACTTTCTGGCCGTGTCACATTGCTGGAATATTGCTGAGTGTGGTGTGAAACAACAAACGCACTTTAACGACGACGTACCAATGAATCCTCCGTGTACGGCTGCGTACAAGGCCAGCCCCAAGTAGGTGTACAGGAAGGGACAGATGAGTGTTGCCACCCCACACACCAGCAGCGACAGCGTGTGGATCAGCAGGCGACTCACTGACCGGAAGTCGCTCACCCAGGCAACAGGAAGTCGTAGAAGGACGCCAGAGATCCCCATGATGGAGAGAAGGAGCGCCACATTTGCCTTTGAGAATCCTCTCTGCAACGCCATATCGGGAAGGTGGACGAGGGGTGTGGCGTATCCGACGTTACAGAAAAATGTCCCCAAAGCAAACAAAACAAAACGTATGTTTTTCATCACAGAGAAGAATTCCTTTGCTTGGGAACTTTTGTTTATAGCTTTGGTTTCAGCATCTGAAGCAATGAAGTAGAAAAATGATTGACGATGTGATGAAGATTGAGATAATCGGAATTCGTGTCATGCATCTTATTGGATATGAATATGTTGAGCCTAGTTTAAGGAACTGACCAACCCCCGGACTGGGCATGATGGTATAAAATCTACAGATTTCCGACAACATTTACAGTTACGTAAATATAGTATTTTGGCCATCAGGTAACTCTTGAGTTACTGTTGAGTCCCAGTAAGCAGATCGTAGATTTGTAGACACATCTGGCAAGAATCAGCATTTATATTATTGGAGTGAGTGGGTATAGTTTTACGCCCCATATAGCAATATTCAATCAAAATCACGGCGGGCGACACCAGAAGTGTACTCCCCACATATTGCACCATGTGGGAGTCGAACCCGGGCCTGCAGCATGACGAGCGAACGCTTTAACCACAAGGCTACCCCACCGTCCCTTTATTGTTTGAGACTATAAGCAGTTACATTGTCCTATATGCAATACACCTAGTCAGAAGGCATCAAACAATATGAAATGCATTTTTTATATTTCTGCAGTTGAGGATGGGCCTCTGTTTTCAAAGGCAGCCAATATAATTAATAGTTTGAATGTGTGAGTATTGTTTTACGCCGCTTAGAGCAATAGCCCAGCCCCAGAAATGGGAGACACACATTGCACTCATGTTGGTAAAGAACCCGGATCTTTGGCGTTACGAGCAAACTTTGCTCTCCCATAGCCCCTATATTTAATAACATGCAAAGCGGGTTCCCTGAAATAGCCAATCGATGTAGATAATAACCAAACACATTGGTTAACTTTGTAAAACTTGTATGTTATATTTCTACGATCATATACCGTTTTTGCGAACACCTGGTGTCAATACTGGTTATCAATGATCCATTCACATAATTTTCACCACTATATTGCCTGTTCCGCCCAATGGAACCAGTCTCGTCAGATAATCGAGACTGGTGGATCTCTGGCCATGACGTTTAATATGTATTTGAAAATTGATAAATACGGGATGACTATTTGCAATCAAGTTTTAATTTCAAACCTTTGTCAAGCTTTTCTTCTTTCGGTTCCGGCTTTTTTATCCAGGTCGGAGGGCGAAACAGGGCCCCACACACCACTCCATTCAATACAAGACCTGCAAGTATCCAGAGCGAGCCACGCCATCCGTATTCCTCAAACATGTGGATGTAAAACAGGGGTAGGACCATCGCACCAATACCCCCTCCAGTCGAGCCAACTGCAGAAGCAAATCCCCGCTTCTTGTCAAAGTAGTGGAGAACAATCACGGCAGATGGGATGAAGGTCAAACCTAGGCCGATTCCTTCAAGTATAAACATCCTAATGTATGTATACTGGCGGGCAAAGAGAGTAGTGTAAACAATTTCGACCTCCAAGTTTCTTGAGACACCACGTGCGTTTCTCTGCGAGGTTATTTACACACTGTATATATTGGAAATGAGTTGATATTTCTTCATCCTGTTCATAAGGGCATGTGTCACTAACACTCTTGAAACATCATTGGACGGACAAAATTATACTATGTTACTGAATCACTATCAAATTGTGATGACAACACGTGTTCACGAAACGGGGATACATGTAGTTTTGTCGCTTGTATCTACTGACAATTCTTGTTGCCCATAAACTGTTATCATTCTGCATGAGACATTACCTCCAGACAGTTCCTGCCAGACATAAACCTAGACCAGCAGTGACATTACTTGCAGACAGTTCCTGACAGACATAAAGCTAGACCAGCACTGACATTACTTGCAGACAGTTCCTGACAGACATAAAGCTAGACCAGCAGTGACATTACTTGCAGACAGTTCCTGACAGACATAAAGCTAGACCAGCAGTGACATTACTTGCAGACAGTTCCTGCCAGACATAAAGCTTGACCAGCAGTGACATTACTTGCAGACAGTGGTCGTTCCTTCAAACTTGTCGTGCCACATTTAACAACATATAATGATAATGTTGCACAGATCTTTTATTATTCCCTATATGTTATCTTCTATAGACAAGGTTTGCCACCGACAAACCTGTTATTAATCCCTATGAGTTATTTACTATAGACAGTGTTGCCACCTACAAACCTGTTATTATTTCTAAGGGTTATTTATGACAGACAATGTTTGCACCTACAAATCTGTAATTTTTGTCTAAGGGTTACTTTCTATAAACAATGTTGCCGCCTACAAACCGGTTATTATTTGACTCTGTGTCATTTATTTGGACAATGTTTGCATCTACAAACCAGATATTACTCGCTATGTGTAATTTTTTTATAGACAATGTTGCCACCTACAAACCTGTTATTATATCTGTGTGATGATTTCTGTTGACAATGTTGCCACTTACAATTCTGTTACTATTCCCTAGGTGTTATTTAATATAGTTTGCCGCCGACAAACCTGTTATTAATCCGTAGGTTACACACAGTGACGTCATGCTGTTTGAGAACCAGCTGGCAAACAGCCCCACAGCGGCGACACATGACCCAATGATGGTCGGCACACGGCACCCATAGCGCTCCGTCATCCACCCAGACAGTGGTGCTGTGGGAAGAGTAAGCCATTCTTGTTATATGCCTCAGTCACCTATATGACAGTCATAGCGCAGCATAACCTGGTCAGACAAGCAAGAGGGTAATATCAGGAGCCATCGGGGAATTATTTCACGCCTGCGGTGTCACTTATTTTAACAATCCGATCCTCCTTGCATTAGGCTGTGACGTCAATCGTAGGGGACAGGGAGGTGAGGTGAAACGGGGTTTAACGTCGCGTCCCAGATTATTGCACTTAGTCTTATATAGCGACGTGCATGCACGTGTGTGTGTGTGATTGCTTGTACCAGTCCGGACTGATGCCGATTTATATACAAGCTCACTGAGATACCATCCCGCAGTTTAACATGGATACCCCACTCAGACACAATATACTGACTCCGAGCCGACCAGTCCTTGTTTTAGCCCCTTAATGCCGAGCGCCAGACAGGGTAACACCAAGTACCATCTTTTAACGTCTTTTGGTATGACGCAGCCGGGGATCGAACCCCGGAACTTCCGCCCTCCGGGCGGACGCTCTACCACTAGACCAAGGAGGCGGTCGTAGGCTACACCATATAGTGAGGTTGCAAACAAGCTCGTTATTGTTGATTTTAATACCATGCTGACAGAAACATGGGTTGTTTATTTTGTTTCTTTGTTGTTAAACGCCACACCTGTTTCTGTTTATTAATTTATCCCTCATTTCCAACTGCAGAATTCAGTGATCCAAATCCGCACCCGTAAAACAAATTGCACTTTGAAAAATACCTACACATTGCCCTCTGAGGCAGGGCTAGACATGAATGTAGTTCAACAACGTGCACCATTTCATATTGTCGGGGTAGATAACATGTCACTATAATAAAGTGACAGCGCCTAGAGAACGCCTCCGTGGTCTAGACGAAAGAGCGTATGTCCGGCCGCGTCATACCAAAGACATTACAATATGGTACTTGTTGTTTCCCTGCCTGGTTCTCAGTATTTAGGGAATAAAACAAGCATTGGCTGGATCGGAATCAGTATACTGGTAAAGATTCAGGTACGAGGAAGAGGTCTTGATGCGTTGAGAAAGACCGCGGATGTGAAGGGTAGGACACATAGACCGAGGGCGAAGTATTAACACTATTAAATATGAATTTAACAATAATGTTTGGAAAAATCTACTCCTCAATAGAGATTAACTCGACTTACAATGAGGAAGCGTTTCGAGAAAGACATACAAAAACATCGCTTTTTATTTGTCAAGAATTAATTGCTAAAAATATTGCGATGATTTTTTTAATTGGATGATAAATCATTTAAATGCAAGAAATAACAGAAAAAAGGAAACATTTTGATATCTTATAGTGAAACATTACAGTGTATCACGGTATAAAGACATGCGATCAAAGCGTGCAAGAGAGAAATACACTCGCGGCATAGACAAAACTAAGTCATGACATCTAAACTTGAACAACCGTGGCTCAGTGGCAAAACAGTGGGGGACAAAACTTGACCCGATATGTCAGGCTGCAGGTTGGATTACACGATGTGTTTTATTACAACAAACAGTCCAAGTTTTATCTGCTTCTCCACTCATCAGGTCTTTTTTCTAAAACGTAAATTCTCATTCCCGGGCGCAGCACAGGAAGTATGTTTGATTCGTTCAAATGTAGCTGGGACAAGTCTTTCTGTAGCCGCCAATGACCTCATATGAGGTATCTAAATCTCAGAAAGACCTATTGATCTTAAAACTATACTAGTGTCCAAAACCAAAAGAAACGATACCAACTTATTTTCAAAATTGTCTTTTACTAAGTGAATTCTCAAGTATGAAAACATGCCAATTCGTATTGCACATCCCAAACACAGCATAGTCGATAAAAAATACCGGGAACACGTGATCACTTCCGGGAAAAAACGTAAATTTCGTGAAAGTGACATTTCCCTCTCTAGCATGTTCTGCACGTGCAGAAAAACTGTATAAAACGGCTGATCAGACACGTTGATATCACAGCAACAAAAAGAACACAAGATATGCCACGTTTGACAGCCATCGAGAGAGAGAGAGAGAATGGTCCAACAAGGAGCGTCACACGTCGACGTCGCCAGAAGGTTGGGCTGCGCACGCATCACTATCACCAGGTTGATGCAGCGGTTACGTCAGAGAGGTCAGACGTCAGACAGGCCCAGGAGTGGAAGACCACGAGTAACCACGCCCCGTGAAGATCGTTACATCCGGGTATTACACCTGAGGAACCGCACCGTAACAGCGACGTCCACGGCGGCTACAGCACTGGGACACAGGATCAGTCGACAGACCGTCTACAGGAGACTACGGCAGTATGGTATCCGGCCACGTCATCCCTACCGCGGACCGCTCCTGACGCGTCGACACCGGAACAACAGACTGATCTGGGCCAGGCGAGTTCGACGTTGGCAACGGCGGGACTGGGCACGTGTTATGTTCTCTGATGATTTGGTGAACGTTTGGCGCCTAACTGTATCCAACAGGTCCGGCCGTTTGGAGATGGAGGGTTAATGGTTTGGGGTGGCATATGTGGTGACGTCAAAACGATGCTTGTCGTAATTCGTGGAAACCTGAATGCACAGCGTTATCTTGATGACATCCTACAGCCTGTTGTGGTGCCCTTTATTCAGCAACAGCCTCGTGGACTCGTTTTCAAACATGACAGTGCAAGGCCACACACAGCAAGATTGACACAGAACTTCCTTGCCAACGCCAACGTACAGGTTTTGCCATGGCCCGCATGTTCACCGGACATGATTCCCATCGAGCACTTATGGGACCACCTCGATCGGCAGACGTTTGACGTCATCAGTCCGTAGGCGTGTTCTGGCATGTATTGATGCTCACGGTGGACATAGCCGCTACTGACTTAACTTTGAGACGTGTGGTGTGACATTTCCCGTTGTTTCTGTGATCAGTGCTCTAACGAAATGTTCATTTTTCGACCCCACCCATCTTTAAAGGCTTGTCATATTGGTTGTACAGATTTTATTGAAATGAAATTTTTGTACAGATGTTGTGAAAGGATTTCTCAAAAGCATAACACCAATCCTAAACTTCTGCATTGTTTAGTTTTTCTTTTATCTCGTTGCAAACAGGTGGTATCGTTTCTTTTGGACACTAGTTTAGATATTGCTGAGGTAACAGTACTGTGCTTAACAATAGGATGACGTCATCAGAGGTTTATAATGTCTGAGTTGGATATTCATGTCAAACTGCGGCATAGTATCACAGTGGGCTAAAAATATAAACCGGCACACACACATGACAAGACAAGGAGTAGATAGTTTGGAACTACAGTGAAGTACGTTTATAACGAACACGCTTATAACGAACTGACGGATATAATGAACTGATTTTTTGGTCCCGACTATTTGCTATAGTTATGCTGTATATATGCTTATAACGAACTACGGTTATAACAAACTAAAGTTAGTGGTCCCTTCGAGTTCGTTATAAACCGTAGTTTACTGTAGTCTAACCCAGGTCCCCCGGGAGAGAAGCTGCAGAGTAAGAGATTAGGTGTACTTGTTGGAGAATTTATGGATGTCAAGTTATTTATTATGAGTTGACATCCGAAAATTATCTTCCTTATGTGTGTCACTTCTAAATGCTTTTCACAGACTTCAGCTATAGAGTGTCTGGGTTAAATTCTTACTCACGTCCCATCGGGAAAAGTCCATGAACCATTGTAGGTAGATCATGTGTGGACGATGCACAACGTGTCAACGGAAACTTACCAACCAGCAGTATGAGTCCACTCGCGATGGACCCCACCCACGCAGTTTCAGCTCTGTTGCCATGGAAATAGTCGATCAGTTCAATATAGATGATGCCGAAAGCACTCTTTGTACCAATAATGAGGAAGTGGATGTAGAACCGCCCAAGGACGCACCACCATCCCCATCCTCCATCCGGGACCTTGGGCTTCTCGCCAATCAGGTCGCCCAAGCTTTCCTCAATTTCAGAAGGCATTTGCTCATCATATTGCTGGGTATCCGATGTCGACATGGTGGCCGTGTTTAATGTGTATAGTGTACTGAAACCATGAATGAAAATATATTAGATCCATGCGGTGTACACGCGCCAAATGAAAAACAATATGCGTCCTTCTCAAGATTAGTTGGTTGGTTGGTTTGTTTGTTGTTTAACGACGCACTCAGCAATATTCCAGCTATATGACTGAGTCTGCACCAGACAATCCAGTGATTGACATCATGAGCATTGATCCATCCAATTGGGATCGATGACATGCCTCAACCGAGCCTGAGCACCCGATCCCGTTAGTCGCCTTTTACGACAAGCAGAGTTGCCTTTTACGGCAAGCATGGGTTGCTGAAGACTTATACTACCCCGGATCTTCACGGGTCTTCTCAAGATTAAGTTACTACTGAACTTGTCCAGGCGATATGAATATACAATCCAGTCACACATTATATACTGAAGACATGTTAATGTTCTTCCAGATGTGATCAAAGACGTTTTTACTGAAAGTCTATAATAATTTACTGATTCCTAACCTCATTTGATAATTGCATCCTGGCAACCAAAACAATCCTTGATTACCTCTCTGATCTCCCTACTCCACATGCGCCAAATCGCAAAATACATCTGATAAAATCTGACTTCGGGATGTCTTCATTGGGCAAATAATCAATTGAAAGTGACATCTCTGTGCTTGCATGTAAATGTTCTCAGAGCCAGATGCATTGTGCTCACACAACGGGTGTCTCGGGTGGTGTTGTGTATGCAAACTCCGAGTGGCATCATTAACATTGTACGAGTTATTTAGCTGAATGAATAGATGGTCTGTGTGTTTCTTCTTGTGATTATATCTTGTTCAAGTCACTAGAATTTTAGTGTTAGGGAAAGATCCTCTGCAAAAATGAACATAATTAGAATTCTTTATACAAGTTTACTAAAGTATTCTTATAATTTTGCATTCAATGGTCCGTCCTTAAAAAAATAGCGGGAATAACTGGTCTTTCTATTCTTCAAAATGTAAGTGCACTTTCACACGTTATACACTATAAAAGTCTGATGCTCTAATTCTTTTTTATTCAAGACTTGGATATTTTGTGTTTATGCGTGTGTCGGTTGATCGTTCATGAAATAAATATGACAACGTTGACATTATGACACATCGATGTATATTGGTGCGAACCTTTCTGAGCAAATGTTGTTTTATGTGTTTGCAGGTATAATGTTATTGTTTTTCACCAATAACTTTACTTTGACAACAATACAAACAAATAAGCGTTATTGTCAAACTGACCCAGTATACATCAGACTTGAACACGTATCTTGAAGGCGGAATGCCTTCCGTTCGAGCAAAGGTATCATCATTGGCATTCAGAAAAAAACGTCCCTTTGACTTTGTACGCAGTGTGTTTATACAACAGCGAAAGTGAGAACCATATGAAGGGAAAATACTAAAGTGTCTTTGCTCACATTATTACCATCCTACCAGGTAACACTACACTTTATTGCTGAAAACATATCCACTGTTTGTAGGATGTTTTACATGGCACACAAACAAAGAAAAGTATCAATGACTAGAACCTAAAACCGTGATACATTACTTCACAAAGGATGTCATAAGGATATAGAAGGCAAGCATCCCAAAAATTGTCAAAAATAGCTAATATATTTAACGTGCATGATGACAACAATAGAACGTGACTAAGCATCAAGAGAAACATGGTAAAGGCCCACCAAGTAATGTTTAGTAGGGGTGCTGGGATTCACACGCGAGACAAACACACGCGCCCCGACTTCAACACCAACACACGAACCATCACCCTCACCATCGCCCATATCTAAAACAGTCGACCCTTGATAGCAACGAACCATACAACCATACTGTGATACGATGCGGTTGAGGCTGTGTGGAAATAACAAATAGATGCAGCTTGGCAATAATATTGTCATCAATGATCATATTTCTGTCTATAATCAAATTACGAACATATCATTCATGATACACAATACTAACCTGTTGTTCGTATCTGCTAAAGCCTGCTACATGGACACCTGCACGCTGTATTCAGATCACACGGGTCTCCCTGTGTGTGCATACCTGAACGTAACATTAGACCCCGTCCCCGATGACGCCACCTAGCTCACACGCGAATCGAATTGTATTGTTGAAGAGAGAAGAAGTAGCCCTGAAACGCTATAACGAACAAACAGGAAGTTTTTATCTATAGATAATTTTATCTAAAAGTTAAAATATACGTGTATGGAACAAATGCTATATATCCCCAGGCCGTTATATACTGTAATGCGGGAACTCGGCTGTGTGTGACCAATGAAATGACCATCTCCCTTATACGGTATACGTGCACGAGAGCATGTACATGTATAGTTAATTATATCTTATCTGTTAGCTGTTGGGTTGATGCATGTTGGATCTACCGTAAATCCTCAAATAAGCGCCTCGCATGTAATTGTTTCATCAGGACCCGGCGTTTTTGACCTGGCGTTTATCTAAGGCTGGCTATTTTAGAGATGCATGTAGATTTCACTTGTCTCTTCTCAACATTTCTTCCAAAACCCCGCGTTTGTTTACGGTTCAGATGGAGGTAAATATAAAATGTCAACGCCAGAGAATAACCAGTTTCGATTATCCACCGAGGGATTCTGAAGCCACCTTTCTTCATGAAACGTGCACCCACACAGTAAAGTACTAAACGTGTGCCTTTTGCTAGTTAGGATATTTTTCATTTTTTTAGAAAATGTCTTCTCAGTTCATTGTAGTGGACGTTTCAAATGTAGGTCGGGTTTGTTTCAGGACAATAAATAATTCATTAACAGGTCACATCAGACAACTGTCGAACGTGTGCTTCTCTTCAGCCATGCATATATGTAGTTTGTATGAGCTTCAACGGCAGCGTGTTCAGATGAAAGACAGGGGCGGTCGGGTAGCCATGTGGTTAAAGCGTTCGCTCGTCACGCCGAAGACCCGGGTTCGATTCCAGACATGGGTACAATGTGTGAAGCCCATTTCTGAGTGCTCTTCAGCGACGAGAGTAAGTGCCAGCTCTTCAAGTCTGATGGGCGGGTTCGAATCTACCGACGACATGGTGAACGG